TCAGTGTCAGACTGTCATACATTTCTTTGTATATCATTTTTATTTTGTGTCTTGGAAGAGGTATAAACCCACTGAGCCAGTATTACTTTGTGAGTAAAAGGCATCTTCGCCACTGCGACTTTCAGTATCAGTGTCGGACTGGCACTCTTTTCGACTAATATTATAATTATTTTCCATCACTATTTTGCGAGTATTACTAACAGGTGAGAGTGTCGCTTTGTCAATCAACATAATTTATTCAATTCTGCTAGAAACCCACCTCCGCCAAGATGATTCTTCAATCACACAAGGCGNGAATATCACGGTCAGTGGCATTTCTCGGGGGGAGGCCAAGGTTATTTGGGGCCAAACTGAGTCAACTGGAGGTGAAACATTCACAACACTGGCCAACCAAAGGGAAACAAAGACATTGTCATGTTTCACTAAATAAGAAAAGCAGGAGCATGCTCTTATATTGTAAAAAGAGTGATGTCACTCTGTGTGAGGTGGACTGCTTTGAGAAGTGCCACGCACGTCAGTGTATCATAAACTGTGAAGTAACGCAGTTCAAACTCCTGTACAGTTTGAACAAAATATTATTGTATATAGTGTGATCATATTTACAATATCACCATGATTCAAGGTTGAAGAAAAAACAACGGGTAAGTCCACTGGAATTTCATAACATATATAATAAAGATTATATTTTGCACTTCATGACAAAATAATCACAGTTAATTTTCATTTGTAAAAATTGCTCTTTTGTGTATAGGTAGAAAATGTTATTGTCTCTCAGGTTGTTTTTAGTTTGTATTTCTATGTTGCATAGAATGGAAAGTACGTATTTTTTCTTAAAGTCTGCAATGTTGATTAATTAGGGCGATTTAAATACTGGCTGCAGAGGGCTCCTGGCAATTTAAAAGTCCGCCTGTTAAAGATTAAACTGCAAAAATTGTCAAGTGAAACATTAAGAAATGTTAGAGAAGGTTTACAGTGTTCTACTATGAGCAATAGCAATGTTTTCACGTGGAACAGACGTTTCAGAGAAGGCACAGATGTGAATGACAATGAAAGACAAGTTGCTCCTGGATGAAGTGAATGGACAAAAATGTTGCAAAAATCACACACTTGTGTGATATGACCATCGGTTAACTTGCAGGATAGCTGACGAGTTTGAGATGAGCAAAGATACTGTTAGGAAAGTTTTTGTACAGGATCTTGGCATGAGAAACTTAGCAGCAAAGCTTGTGCCACAACACTTGACGGAGGAACAAAAGAACAGAAATCTCACTTTGTGCATGGACTTTGTGGAACAACTGCAAGAAAATAATTTTTTGGATTGTGTCATCACTGGTGTTGTCAGTATGATTCTGAGGTCAACACCACCAGTCTATGGAGTGGCGAACAAAGAATTCCTCCAAGGCAAAGTAGCCATCAATGTCAAAGTCCAACATCAAAACAATGTTGATCTGGATTTTTGACATCAGGGATATCCACTCTGAATTTGTATCTGAAGGGTCCACTGTTACTGAGACATTCTATGTGGAGGTGATGAAAAGGCTAATTAATGCTGTGAGAGACAAGCGAGGAGAGTTATGGAGACTTCATTGATTCTTCATCCAGACACTGCACTGCACATTCTTCACTTTGAACATCAGTTTTTAGCAGGAAAGGCATCTCCACCAGGGATCATCTACCGTACTCTCCTGACTTGACTCCAGCTGACTTCTGACTGTTTCCAAAACTCAAGGGTGCAATGAAAGGAAAGCATTTCTTGGACACTGAGGACATCAGTTCACCCGTGGAAAAAAATGTGAAACATTCCTGTTCAGGATTTTAAAATCTGTTTTGAAAAATGGCCAAAACACTGGGAAGATTGTAAATAACTGGAGAGAGAGATTACTTTAAAAAATTCTAGATCGCCAATATCCTCAGCTCTTAAAATAAATTTTTAAAAAATTATTCTCAAAACTTATTTGCCAACCTGTATTGCACTTACCTCACGTAAATTCATACTCAGGGGCTCAAATACCATACACAAGTGGTTCTTATGAAAGAAATGTCTAAACAGCCTGAGGCAATGAAATCTATCATCCGGATCAGCATCATTGAGACGTCGCAACACCTCTAACTCTTTCAACCCTGTTTTGTGCCTAGGAATAGAAAGAAGCCACAATTATTTACATTAACATATAAAACATTAACAGCATGGGGAAATTCAATACAGCAGGAAATGTGTGATCAGTAGCAAGGAGACAGAATAATAAGGGTATGGACTTCTGGCATGTACCCTGATTGACAGGTACCTATATTTCAGAGGAACCTGCTTCCACCATCTTCAGGGTAGTAGATGTGAACACCAGGATCATCCAGAACACTGATACCTGTCTACCAGACTAAACAGCATCACATGTGAGATGGATGTGATATTTTTGACCTTTAGCAGGAGCTATACAGTGGTCTGTGTGCAAAATATGGCAAAAACATCTCACTATAGGTTACTTTGATGAAACCAGAGAACTCTGTGCCTAGAAATAACCTATTACCTCTGTCAGCTTCCCCATCTATAGATGAAACATTAACTTTCGTTGGCCATTACAGTAAATTTCTATTTTGCTTATCTCCTGCAAAGGGAAATGTGTTTCCCAAGACTATCTGGGACTTAGAGCAGAGAGCAAAAATGTTCTCTCTATAAAACTTAAAGCTTATCTTCTGAGGGAGACAGGACAGAATAGGGAGAGAGATGGTATTCTGATTACTCTGTTGGAGATTGATGACAAATGATCAAAAAAATCTTAAGGCATTTGATGCAAATATTAACCCTTCCATATGAAGATGTTTTATTTTTTTTCAGCTAGTTTACAATAAAGACATGCTGAAGGACCTATATACACATCCACATTATAGAAAGGGTTAATAAACAGCACAAATCGTTAAAATTATTACATTTTCTCAATTTATGATATGATCACCAATGGAAACAAGCAGCAATACTTTTAAGTGTGATTTCCTACAAACATCCATCCCGGAATTTCCCCAACATCCTTAATAAAAATGAATGTCTCATTTCAATATTGAAAATTCTTCCCACCAACTCACTATACGTAACATCAAATATTAATATGAATCTGTGAACACACAATCCTATAACTCAATCACCAGTTATGCATTGGCCTGCATAATATTCATGCACATATTATATAAATACAAAAATTTTGAAGCCATATAAATTTTCTGTATTTCCAAAGTTTCAATCTGACTTATCTTAGCTTACGAGATTCCCAGTGGTGCTAAGTGTCGTAGGGAAACTTGTCTTCGCCCTCTAGCCAGCCACAGAATGACAAACTCTCCCCTGATAGGGACTGAGCAGCCTGCAAAGAATGACACACAGCCTGCAGGCTAGATTACAGAATATGACAAAGAAATACAATGGCATCATTAAAATCCACCAAATTACACTCTATCATCACAGACTTCATTCTGTCCTCCGATATGCTGGCGAACTTCGTAACTAAAATCCTGTGAGAGAATATGACTCAATGATGTTCATATTTCAGCATGTACCCACATTTACCTGCATTTACTTGTGTCATGTCCTCCCTTTTTTAGCACTCAAAATAAGGAGGGGAAAACTATGCCAATTTTTTTCTAACAGGTTCTTAGTGTTATAACACAATTTGGGAGTATGTTTACAAAACATGTTTCGCGGCTACATACATGTTCCACCAGTTCTGCCAATTTCTAATAATTTGGGTAACACTCTTCTGTTTGTGTGGTGCGGTACAGTTTATAAATGGGTTCAGCAGAATATTCTTATTCTTCAGCATGTTTTAATCCCACAAAGGACACAAGACTCAGTTAAAATTCAGTCATGAAACTGTATCTCCTGATATCTTACAATCGTGCTGTGTTAGCTCGGGAATGTAAGTGCTGGCATGTAATGTTTTGTGTAACAAGCCTGCTGCTCTCAGATCAATAACAACACTTCTCGAGCAGTAGGTGAAGCGCAGAAAGTGCGGGTATCATGATAGACAGGGGAGGTGCTGCAGCCTTCCACAAGTGAGTAAAAGTCTATTTTAGAACATATCAGCATGACTCTCTTTGTCTTTAAGACTGCGGCCTTCTGGGCTGACACTGTAATTTTGTGTTTTGGAGGAAAATGCTGCCTCCATCTTCAGGGTTGAAGCACGCAGGTTCAGAAATATGCTCAGTTATATCCAAAAATTATTAGAAGAGCGGTCATGAGACACAAGGAGAGTGGGTAAAGAAGGGAACCCAGCCCCAACCAATGGGTGAGGGTGGGGGGGGGGAATAGTTATTATTCACTTGCGAAAAACCATTGTGCCCCTTACTAGCCTCCCCACAGCTTCCATATATAATGCAGTCTATTTCTGTATCTGTACACTCCAACACTGAAGATGCAGGTGGCATTTCCCCCCAAAACATTACCACAGGCAAGAAGACCACAATCTTAACATCACGACTGGGAAAACCTGGAAAATCATATTCCTTGCCTTTGTCCATGAAGTTTGTATGGGCAAAGATGGAATGAGCATTTGTGTGATCAATGATCAATACTGAACAATGAACCATGATGAAGTCAGTCAGAAAATACTGTGGGGGTTAATTAAATAAAGAAATAAATAAAGTACAGATTCTAAAGGGTTCTGACAGTGGTGTAAAACATTCAGTATTACTGGATTTTTGAACTATGTCCATCATCTGGTATTCTAAAAACTAGAGAACACATTTTGGAAACTGGATCTGCTTCTATCCTCGAGTGAGTGGGAGACACCTATTGTAATGGGTCTCTTAGAAAGAGCTAACTTCAATTAATAAAGGTAAAGGCAAAGTTGCCCTGTGCTCATTTAATTAAGCACTATGCCATGAAGGTATATGGGGGAGTAGATGTAGAGATCCTAGTTTTCTTGACCTTGGCACTAGCTGGTGGTGAGTGGTCAGCGTCATGCGCTGGCTGGTTTACCCCTGAGGAAAGAGTCCCAAGTACCCACTGGATAGGAGGCTGGGTGGGCTCCAGAACTGGTCTGGATGACACAGAGAAGAGAAAGCTCTACTCCCTATCAGGACTTGAACTTCTACCTCTCATTTGTCCAGCCTGTAGCCAATTGCTATACCAACTGTACCATCCCAGCTCCAAACAAAAAAATAAACCTACATGTTTTGTTTCCAGAAACAAAGATGAGCATTATGTGACTGGAGATGTTATGTGAATAAATATGGTATTGTGACTGCATATACATGTGCGCTACACTTCCATATGTAGAGAGCAGAAACACTGCCACTGTAGAACCCTGCAATGAGAAAAAATATATGACCACTGGTATTACTTTCCTGAACTCTAAAAAAATATACAAGATCTACAGTCTTATATGATGTACATGGCAGCATCTAACTTGTTTTAATAACTACAAAACTCATGTCACCTCATTTCACCAGTTTTACTAGTCCTATAAACAAACATGCCTCAATATCAGTTCACTCACATAACAAATACAAACAGTATAGCACAAACAAATGCAGGCCAATACAAAATGTATCACACTAACTCACCTAATTGTTCGATGGTGATTACTGTTCATTACTGATGGTATGCAGTCAACATATTCTCTGCATAATACATGAGAGACTTCAGGTATCCTGACTACAAACAAGCTTTACTCCCAACAACAATCACATAATATGAAACTACATAACAAGAAGTGTTCCTAATTTTTCTTACTCCACTGGTTTCACCGTTTAATCTCCCCTTTAAAACGTGATTAATGAGCTTTAATTCCATCAATTAGCCTTTTACAACTCCTACTACTTTTGTTTTTAGTCTTCATTGAAAAATTAAACAAAGGGAGTCATATGAAATACGTCAAAATTCCACCGAGATGTATACCTGTCACAATATGGCATACCAGGTGGACACCCATCCCCCCCCCCAAAAAGAAACCTAGAAAAATGGGCAATTCGTTTTCTAACTATACAATTAAAACTGAAATATGCCAACACATTATACCCGTTACCTAAAACATGCAGAACTCACATGATTTCATTGTTCCGTATGATCTTAACTGCCACGTCCTGGTTACCTCTTGCCCCATCTCTGGCTCTGATCACATTGGAAAACACTCCCTGACCAGTGTAACCATATACCACATAACGTCCATCCATCACTTCTCCGATACGAACGCGGTAATAGCCCTCAGCGTCGTCCCAGTTGTCTGTGAGACTGGGGTTTTCGGGACCACCATGAAGTTTGTCCACTGTGCTTGGGCTCTGGAATCACGTGTTGTCAGTAAGTTGTTACGACATAGTGAAATGCTCTCTATACAGTATCTACACAACATTCTATCTATAATACATATTTTGAAGACAAAGCAGGTAAATTCCAAAGAAATTCAGGCATAGTCAACACAAATATGACCTCCAAATGCAAAATGCAAATCCAACAGACAGGAATGCACTATACAGAAATCAAATTACTTACTAATTTCCATTCACAATCAATAAATCATGACATAAAACTACTTCAGGCAGCACTAAAATATTATTTATTGCATTCATACTTTGAAGAATTTCCTGTAACTGGAAATTCTGAAATATCATAAATACAGAAAACGAAACATTTTCTCTGACACAATTATTCTGCTCTGCATAATGTTATTCTTGTACGCTGTCAGTTTAACAGGTGTAACAAGTACACATCCTTTATATTCATACTGATTACTGCATCTGTATCACGTATCATGACATCTCCTATACAACTCTAGCAAATGATCTACAAAATGTACGAGATCTGTTCAAATGAAGCACATTCCAAGATTTTTTAGGACGAAGGACTAGAGATCATTAAAAATCGTCCCCATGGGCAATATGGCATGCAATCCCTTGATGCACCACCCAGTGGAACCCTTACACAAACAACTCCCAGGATTTGGGTTTGAATCACTCCACAACTGCAGCCTTGACATCTGTGTCCAACTCAAACTGGGGGGGGGGGATCACACAAATGTAATTCATTTGAACAACCTTTATAAACAAAAATCAAACTCTGATTCTTCTATAAACTGCTAAAATCATACATTGTACTGCTCCATAGTGTCTGCTTCTGCGAACATATCCCACTCATTCTTCTTTCCATCCTTGCGTTCACGCTTCTCTTGTTTATTTGGCTTCTCTTTCCCTTCTTCTGCTGCATCATGAGAACTGAACCTCGATTTCCTTTTTTCTGCACTTTCCTTTTCCATTTCTTTAGGCTGACTGGTTTCATTTGATTCTAATGAATGATCATTTACACTGTTATCTTCCGATACCACAGTAGGCCGTTCTGAAGGGCTACTTCGTTCTGACAGATTCACGGCAGACATGTTGGAGTCCTCACTTATAGCTCCCAATCTCTGAAATTCAAAATAGCCAACATGAAACAGAGAATCAACTGGGGGTTGAAGAATACCTGACCGCTTTATAAAGAAATGCATCAAAATATGCTTCAACAGCCCTTAAAAATTTAAAACAAAGGTACCATTTATATCAACTCTAAATGCCCTGCAGAAATAGTGTATCTGAATTTATTATATGAGAATTTATATTCAAGAGTAATTTTAAAAAATCTGGGGTCCTAAAAAACAGAGTTCAACTTCCCTCAAACAGGATGACAATATTCATGACCTGCATCCTGAAATTTAAAAACTACAATGAAGGCTGAACTTTGTGATGCATAAAGGACTTTCAGTAAGTATAGCAACAATTCCAATTTTTCAATACAGCTAGCAAATGACACACACCAGAAACCTGAATGTTGAAAGAGCATCAGATGGTGAAATGCATGGCATATACCTTCGTTACCTGGGAACGGGGGATTATACATCACCAGGTACTACAGGATTGGTCATGGGATTTTAGCTCAGGAATAAAGGTTTACAGCCCAGGAATAGGGGACTTCAAATCTCCCAGTACCAAGGGGATGGCAGCCACATTTTGACACTCAGAGACTTACGGCTTAGCAAACTGAATTGTGTACTGGTGCTACTGCACAGCTGCAAAATATAAAGATTGAAAAGAAATATAAACTCGCTGATTATAGTTCTCATACTGCACAATACAAAAGCAGTGCTCTTTCTTGAGGACAAAAATAATTCCATAACAGTCTTATGAATGTTCAAATGTTCAGCTACTATTTACCACCAAAATACTTCAACAATTTGTAACTCAGGTACCTTCAATGGTAAACAGACTGTTAAATTGCTAAAATACGCATGGTCACAGCATTCAGACCATTTATGGGGCCCACACAGCTTCCTATCCAATGGGTACTGAGGGGAGTGGTTGAGCCCACAGGCAACAGACTTCTTTGGCACAGCGGTACAAAAACTTATTCCCTGATACTACTACTTAAATTCCGGCAGCAACTACATTGAGAAGTAGCATAAGCATGTAGACATTTTTTAATATAATAATTTTTTTCTCATCGCTTGGTTACTGAAGGTTACTTTTCGAGCAGCCCTTGTACAACACCATGAAAAAGTCAATGTTAAGAGCACGCTGTAGTGTCAATTCCTCATGCTCTATTTAACACATATATAAAGCAGTGACTGTCACCTCTGGAAGAATTAAGAACCAATCAAAATTTACCCTAAGGAGTTCTTCTCGTTGTTTTCGTCTCTTCTGAATAATTTGTTCTTCATCCTCATCTTCCTCAATGTTAATGTCTCCAATTTCTTCTTCGGACTCGGACGAAGACTTAGCTTTCAAACCTTCAGACAGACTGTCCTTAAATATATCACTCTTCTCTCCAGCCCTTCCCTTATTCTGAGACCTACACAACAACAATATAGTTTCAATCTGTTGGCTGAATGTGTATATAAAATAAGCACAAGTAATAACACACACAATGTACACAATAGCCTTTAATTATTTCAAGGGGAAAGCACTTAATTTCTTTAAATAAATAGNGGGGGGGGGGGGGGGGGGGGAGAGTACTGAAGTCAACTGATACAGATAAATCAATACTATAACAAGAGCCCTCCACCTAGCACAGACTGGCAAGAGCTCTGCACTCTCTGTTTTGCCTACTTCCACACATCCCCTTCCATGCTGCAATGTGTCCAATGTTTATCAATGTGAGCGGTAAAAGCGGCAGTGACAATTGACATACAGTGATCATTTACATACATACAAAGTTTTCAGGAAACATGTGAGTAAGGTTCTGAAACTAGGTCAGGTTAAGCTTATGAGATCTCAGGACTGCAGCGAACTAGAGATGGTGAGATCAGAAGGACCGAACAGTGAGGCTATACAGAAAACGCAACCTGCCACTTCCCACTTAACAAGTCATACACTGCCATCTAAGATTTTTTAAACAAACTTTCCTTACAAATTGTCAATGAAAATCCGTCGAGTGTAACAATGTTTTTAGGTCACTTATTTATCTCACTTGCCTTATGTTTCGGTTCAAGAGAAACCATCATCAGAGGCACGTATTACAAACACTTGAAAACACTGGCGTTGTTTAATGTACACAGTATGTAAGCTGCGTATACGCTGTTACAGGTGTCGAAGTGTAAAAGCACAACACTTTCTAGTAGCATTGAATGCACGTACTACTCTTGCATTCCATCTGAAAATTGCCCTCAAATTNCGAATCAACAAGAAGGAGCCAAACATTTTACTTTAAATGTTTTAAACTTTTAAATATTTTAACATTGACGGCTCAATTTGAGGGCAATTTTCAGATGGAATGCAAGAGTAGTACGTGCATTCAATGCTACTAGAAAGCGTTGTGCTTTTACACTTCGACACCTGTAAGAGCGTACACGCAGCTTACATACTGTGTACATTAAACAACGCCAGTGTTTTCAAGTGTTTGTAATACGTGCCTCTGATGATGGTTTCTCTTGAACCGAAACATGTAAGGCAAGTGAGATAAATAAGTGACCTAAAAACATTGTTACACTCGACGGATTTTCATTGACAATTTGTGATTGATAGTGTAACGGACCAAAAATGAAACAATTTGAAACAATTTAAAAAAAAAAAAACTTTCCTTACTTATTGTGCATAATCCAATTAACACAATCCAGAGAGTGCCCTCACCTGACAACCCCTCTTCAAGTTAACACAATTCTAAAATTTTTTAAGGAACAAAACCAACTGAAAATCTACCGTAAGATGTGGCCTCTCAAGTCCTCAAATGTAATTACACAATTATAAGAAACATTCAAGACTAAATTTAATTTTATTTAATTTAAATTATGGGGCTACTTGGGCGACTTAAAAAATTCTAAAATTGATAAAATAATTCAATTCTGATATGGAATATACTGATCAGTTTCTGGAACATTTTCTCTAGTTCTTTGAATAATAGACAACAGACAAATTCCAAAAACCCAGTAATTCTGAGTGCTATATACTAATGTCAGAACCCTCCAGAATAAATATACTGAATGACATTCCAAATGTGAGGATGAATTTTCCAATAGCTGTGACTGAACTGTAATTACAACACAATGATCAAAATCTGCATATGCAATCATGATGCTTATGATATTTTACATCAAAACTCATTACTGTGGTGAACATCATCAAAACATATCTGTGTGCTCTGTATTCTGTTGTACTCACGGAAGGTTTGCGGCACTGTCTGATCTTTACTGTGTTTAGAATGTAATCATCACAATTTTATGGTAAATTGGAAGTAAGATGAGAATTTTTTAAAAGACGAAATTGTCACATATGTATGACTTATTCCCTTTGTCATAAGGCATTACTGCTCTTGAACAGTATAAGCAATTCTGTATCCACGAGATGATGACATCATGATTCTCCTACACTTCATATGAAGAGTTCTGGCATACTGTGAGTCTTAGAGTAGTTGTGGTAACACCAGAGTACTAGGAAACTTCATGTTACTGAGATAATATCAAGTAAATGCAGAAAACACTACTAGCACCAATAAGTGCCTATCACCTGGGATTCTACCTCGTGAGAAAAACACACACACACAAGATGATCAATCTGTTACAATTTCCATGCGAAAATGCACGTACCTGTGGCTACTGGCTAAGGGGCATTACAACCATCAGCCCACATTATTGCATATATGTGTTAGTTGTCAGACCCAAAACAATCAACACTGTACCACATCATCTGTCATCACACCCTCAGCTTAGTACTTGGGCGCAAGACCAGCAACGGACAAACCCTGCGGCTTCATGGTGAACTCCCAGCATATGTCATTTCACTGTTCACATTTCTCTTTTGTGTACACAGAAAACATAAATACATACCTGCCATGACGAGAGCGCTGCTGTCTATCACGATCTGTATCTCTGTCACGATCTCTGTCTCTCTCCTTGTCTCTACTTCGAGGTGAACGTGATCTTCCAGATGGCCACCTTCTGATTCTCTCTCTTTCTCGTTCCCTTTCCTTCTCTCTCTCCCGTTCAGCATCCTTAGACCTGCTTTCTCGCCGCTGGCTGTTCACATCTCGACTTCTGCTATATGGACGTGAAGCATAAGTTCCTGAAATCCAAAGTTTCAAAAGATTGCATATTTTGGAAATTATCTGCTCTTTGATGTACTGTTCACAACAGATAAGAATAAAATTCTGCAAGATCTGAGGTTCTCACAGCAGTGGCTCTGGGATGTGGAGCCTTGTGGTCTGGTAGTGCTCTTGAAAATTGATCCCGCTCAAGAGCCATACTGCCATGTCATTACTCACTGTACAAAATTAAAAAGTGTGACATCAGAGGGGGCCACCAATGGCTTACAGTCAATACCAAGTTCCATAAGAATCAGTCAAATGAATGAAAAGAAGAAAATGCTGAAACATAAAAAGCAGAGAGCATGTTGATCTCATAGGCCTATTGAGTTTTCTTAAGGAAAATGCTAAAATACTGCACATTCACTAAAGCAATAAAAATCCATTTCTCACCAATAGGGGTCCTGCTGTGGCTAGATCTTCTTCTCTGAGAATCCCGAGTTTCACCATGCTTCCTCTGGGCATCGTCCCTTCTCTTGGACTCACTAGGCAATTCTCGGCGACTACTTCGATCATTTTGTAATCGATGTCCAAATCTCTCTTCTCGGTTATGGTGAACATGGTCTCGATCTCGTTCAGATTCCCTTGGTTTCTTTGCATCTCGTGACACTTCTGACGGGCCCCGCTTCCTGTCTCGATCTCTATCCTTGTCTCGCTCTTCTTTAGTTCCTTTTCTTCCTTCATCATTAGTTTCTGCTTCAACCCTCGCATCCCCTCGATCTCTACTTCTACTCCTACAATTAAGCAGATCAACTGTTGCAATATGCATGTACACCAAATAATGGAAGACTTCAGCATGGCAAAATAATGTTCATATCATGATTTATGGTAGTGGCGAAGGAGAAATAATAAGAGTGTTTTGACCTTGTACACTGCAGTCTGATAAAACAAGGGTAAATCTGTCTGATGCATCTGGAGTTTCAAATGTTTGTAACATACCATAAAATTATTTTCAACATAAAAAGCCTGGGGACTGAAAGGAGGCAAATGACATGGAAAACTAAGATCTAAAAGTTTGTGACAATGGTACCTTAGTGCAAATATTATGCTTTTAGACATTATCTATTGCCTTGTCTTTATCTAAAAACCATTCCGTTTATTTTTCAAAACACAATGTTCTGGAAACTGATGTCTGTCTCTGTCTACAGGTGAAACCTACTCAACTGGGCCCAAAGATAGGGACTAGCTCTACTGACTGGGCCCAATTGGGTAGGTTTTACCTGAAGATGGAGACAGAATCCAGTCTCCTAAAAGATGTGTTTTGAAAAATAAACAGGATGGTTTTTAGATAAAAACAAGATGATGGATAATGTCCAAAAACATAATATTTGTATGTGGAAAACTGCCATTACCAAATCTAGATACAGTGAAATCCCCTACTGAAGATTTCTTTGAGCAGTCAACCTGAATAATAACATGAGAAAATTTTAAACAGAGGAACAATAAATGGGAGTTCCAACATATAATTATTTTTTCTAAGGGTATGATTCAAAAGTATTGTTATGTTGACAGAGAATATGTGGGCTGTTACCACATTTCTCAGAAACACTAAATCTTCCTGCAAGTCTAGTTGCTTCATATAACTTATTTAAACAACTCCGTGGAATTGAGTCCTTCTTGAGAAGCCCAGTGTAAACAAAGTCCTATTTTCCTGTATTCAGTGAATTATAATTTAGCTAAGAAATTTTATACCCTCCAGAACTTGGACTTCCATTTGGTACGACTGTCTGAAACAACAAAACAATACGTTGTGCGCTCAAGTTCTAAGGTCTCCGATTCTTTTTCTCACACAATACTCATACAAAATTTTGAAACTTCTGCCACTTTTCAATGTAATCTCCTTACAGCTGTACACATTTTTCACAACGTCAATGCCATGATTCCATGGCCGCTGCGAACACTTCTGTAGGAGTCTGTTTTCGCCACTGGAAAATTGCTGATGCAATAGCGGCACGACTGGTGAATGTGCGACCATGGAGAGTGCCTTTCATTGTTGGGAAAAGCCAAAAATCGCTAGGAGCCAGGTCAGGCGAGTAGGGAGCATGCGAAACCACTTCAAGGTTGTTTTCACGAAGAAACTGCTGCGCCGCATACGCCCAATGCGCTGGTGCATTGTCCTGGTGAAAGAGCACACGTACAACCTTTTCTGGCCGTTTTTCTCGCAGTGCTGGAAGGAGCTTGTTCTTCAAAACATCTTGGTAGGATGCACCTGTCACCGTAGTGTCCTTTGAACGCAATGAGTAAGGATTACGCCACTGCTGTCCCAAAACATGGCCATCATCATTTTTTCAGCACTGGCACTTACTCGAAATTCTTTTGGTGGCAGTGAGTCTGTGTGCTTCCATTGAGCTGACTGGCGCTTCGTTTCAGGATTGAAAAATGGCATCCATGTCTCATCCATTGTCACAATTGATGAAAAGAAAGTCCCATTCATGCCTTCATCATGTGTCAACATCGCCTGGCAAATTGCCATGCGCACAGCCTTGTGGTCGTCCGCCAGCATTTGTGGCACCCACCTGGAGGACTTTCCACATTCGCAGGTCTTCATGCAGGATTGTGCGCACAGATCCCACAGAAATGCCAACTTTGGAGGTGATGTTTTCCACACTCAATCGGTGATCCTCCAAAACAACTTTCTCAACTCGCTCGACCATGTTGTCAGACCGGCTGGTGCGAGGCTGAGATTGTTTTGGTTCGTTGTCACACGACGTTCGGCCTTCTTTGAACTGTCGCACCCACGAACGCATATTTTTCACATTCATGACACCATCAGCACGTCTCAGTCAACTGGCGATGAATTTCAATGGGTGTCGCACCACGCAAGTGCAGACAACGAATGGTTACTCGCTGTTCTTGTAACGAAAACGTCACCATTTTAGGTATCAAAAACACTCCTCACTCTCGCTGCCACCACTAGAGTTCTGTGTGCCGTACAGTGCTGCCATCTCTATCACGCATTCACAAAGAGTGTACATGTATTTTAAACTAAACCGCATGTGTCTATCTGCTCCCACTCCTGGTAAAAAGAATCGGAGACCCTAGAACTTGAACGCCCCTCATATTCATGTATCCTCTGCCATGAACTGTTACTGCAAAACCATAATCTTTGGCATATGAAGCCACATATGGAACATGCACTAAAATCATCCTACATCACAGTTTGATTAATTCTCAACTGACATTCACCGAATGTTTATTTCATATGTCATTAATCACTTTCAAAGTTTATTTGACAATAATTTAGCTTATAAGCAGAGAAACAGTTTAACTGCTCAAATAAACAAATGTTTTCATTATACATACATACAGAAAGTCATATAAAAAGGTGAACAGTTTCTGCCCCCCCCCAATTATTGCATACCTTGACTCAATAAAAAAAATACCAATCCCTCACACACATTACTAAACTGGAACTACATTCTACTGGTAAATGTGTCCACAATATGTGTCGCAAGAAACTACAATTACGTGGCCTCATTTAATTACATATTAAAATTCTGTGTCCGAGAAATCCTCTGACTTCACTTCAAGCAACTTTGGCTCTTACCGACTATATTTTCTTTTCCTCTTTTCGTGCTTTCTCCTAGGAGCTTCTTGACCCATTTCTGAATCATCATCTACCAAATTAATGATTTCAGGAACAGGCTTGGTGTCTGCTTTGTTAACTTTACCACTAGCGCTGTCATCGTCTTCATCATCCTCTTCTGACATATAAGCACCTAGTCTTGCTTGGAGAAGTGCCTGTTTAAAGAAACAAGTATCATAAAATCAATACAAAGTCCGTCGAGTGTAACAATGTTTTTTAGGTCACTTCTTTCTCACTCTTGCCTTACATATTTCAGTTTTAGTAAAACCATCTTCAGAGGCACATGGTACTAACAAGAAAACACTGGCGTTGTTCAACTGTACACAGTATATATGCCGTGTGGGCACTGCTACAAATATCGATGTGTAAAAGCACAACACTAGCTCGGAGTACTGAATGCACGTACAGAATGCACGTTCAACCTTCGCATTCCTTCCGAAGTTGCCCTCGCATTAAAACATCACTATTAAAATATTTAAAAGTTTAAGACTTTTGAAGTAAAATATAAAAATGTTAGGCTGCTTCTTAATTTATCCCGATGTTGGGAGATGTCTTGAGGTTGTATTGGCTGCAAAGACATTGCATTACATTAGGTTTTATATATTTATATATATTGAATTTATTTTATTTTGTTTAGTGTTGTATTTGATCCTTGCTTACCTTGTAGTTGGATTATTCCTGTGCGTTGTGTGTTGTGTACTGCGGTGAGAGTTCTACGCCAGTGTTATTTAAAGCCTTGTGTGTTATGACGTGGTCGGGGGTGTGTTTATACAAGTAGTGATAAGGTCGAACATGCTGTTCTGGTTATTGATCTCCTTTGCCTGTTTCTGCTCATCTATTAATTTGTTATCCTTGTAGTGGCGGTAAATTTGGTATTCTTCCTTAATATTCATTAATTTGCCTTTCTTTGCTACTTCAATCAATTCCATGATTTGCGAAATTGGGCCATATTGATGTTGTCTATTTAAAATATGTTGAGCATAGGCGGAGTCATTTTTATTGAATCTTATACTTCTTATATGTTCATTATAGCGTGTTACTAATTTTCTGCCTGTTTGACCTATATACACTTGTTGGCACTCCTGGCAAGTCAATTTGTATATGCCGCTTTGTTCAAAGGGATTTGTGCTTTGTTTATGGTTTAGTATTCTACCTAATGTATGATTTACTTTAAAAGCTATTCTTACGTTCGTATTTTTGAATAGTTTCGTAATTTTCCTTGTGTAGCTTCCGTTATATGTGTAAGATACCCATTTCTGTTCTCTTCTTTCAATGGGGGCATTTGCTTTTTGTTGTTGAAATTTATGATACATTCGTGTGATGAGTTCCTTATTGTAACCATTGTTTTCCGCGATGCTAATAATTACGTTTAGTTCCGTATTCTTTGCTGCGTTATCCATAGGTAGGATGGATAATCTATGTAGCCAATTTTTGTATGTTGCCAATTTGTGTTCTTTGGGGTGGCAAGATTTATTGTTTATCGTTGTGTCTGTCGTTGTGGGTTTTCTAAATATCTCCAATCTTACTTGCCCGTGGTTGTTAGTTAGTTTTAAGTCTAGGTACGTTATTTGGTTATTTTCCTCTTCATTCAGTGTAAATTGCAAGTTTTTATTTTGCTTGTTGAATTGGTCTAAAATGTGTTGGGGTGTTATTTTTGAT